CTTAACTTCAAGAGGGGGAAGCTGATGTGAAACTTAGCAAAGCCACAATGGAAAAACCAAGAGTTCTTGGGTTGCAGCCAAGCCTTGAGAACAGCAGAGGCTTCCAGCACTGGAGCTCTCCCATCCTGCTCAGGGCCAGGGCAACTACACCCAGCCCCATCCTCTCCTCAAGCACCTCCCCTCCCATACACCATCACATAACATCCCCAGGGCAATTGCTCACACAGAAAAGCAACATAAGTGTTATATATGGAGTAGTAATTCGTGTCGAGAAAATGGTTGATATTAATAAAGAAGGGGGAGATGTGGGAGTGTGGCCATTGGGGTCGGCAAGCCCCGTGGTTGAGATAACATTAGACTCTTAATGATGAGGCCATCAGGAATATAAAAGAGTTTAGAGGGAACAAAGAAGGGTGATTCAGGAGACTCCATGCAGTCTCTGGTTTCTTGTTCTCCAGCCATTAAGGCATAGATGTTTCTGGGTGTTTGCTGTTGTTGTTACATTCAAAGTTGTCTGACCAATGAAAAGTTGTTTTGAAAAGAACTGCTGTGGGGAGAAGGGTATAAGAGGGGAGCCTGCCCTCAAGATAAAGAAAAAGGCAACACGATGAAGTTACATCAATAAAGAAGCAGGAAAAAGGAGTGAAGAGGAACAGGCTGGCAGAATGGAGACCAGGACGGGAGCAGGCATTTTGATTGCCTCGTACAGAAAGTCGCTGGAAACAGGCGCACTGGAGCTGGAGAGAAGCGGACCCGTGCATACAACTGCCTCTCACTGGTAAGCACTTGTGCATTATGGGGAATCATATGTCCTTAGGAACAAAGACTGTCCTGGTAACCTTACAGCTTATTCTCCTTCTTAACAACCAGACAGTTTATGAGCCTGAAATATGGGACCAAACTGAGGTCAAGGTGTGGGACTCTGCAACTAAAAACGACAAGGTTGCAGTGGGATTGCTCGGCACCTGGCGAGCAGTCTCTGAGGCCTTAAAGAGCCATGTGGAGCCACAATCACAAACGTGTGGCTTGCCAGACAGTGAGGGAGCTGCGGGCTCCTTTACTGATCTGACTGCTATGCCATAGCCATCGGCCTCTCTGCTGCTACAGCCATCGAACGCTTTTGCTGTTACGCCCCCTCTTGACCTGAACGTGCTTTTTGACCCAGGCCTATTGGCCTTGAAAAGGAGATGGATATGCTTTTCTTTGATCCGGGAAGGACGGGATACCTAAGGCCTGAAGACCGAGTTGCTTGACAACTTAGTGAGACATATTGTTCAAAAGGAATGGAAAATGGAGACTGTTAAGTCATGGAACTTAAAGGATTGTTTGTTACCTTTCCTGATCGTACGTATGTATAGGCATACTTGGGTTTAGTACGTAAAGCAATGTTCTGTATATTTAGAATGTTTGATGTTCATGTGTGCATGTTGGTGGAGCATAGACTCCCCGCACACCCAGTACTGTTTACTTGCCTTTTATACCTTTTAGAAATATTTGTTTTATAAATATTACAAAATTCAGATTGAGTTGAGACCTCATTTATAACAATAAGTATATTAAAAGATGTAAACATACATTAAATAGCGTAGCAGCTGGAATCAAAGGAGGGGAAGAAAAATCAGACCCTACCACATGAGCAGCACACCTCTGCAGAGCCCCCTTCTAGTCACCACCACACCCCATACCACAGTTTTGGAAATCAGGCTCTGGACCCTATTGCCTAATTAGCAGAACAGCGCAAAGCTTTGGAACAGGCTTATCATCTTCCTCCTTAAGTGGCCACTGAATAAGTACTATATCCCCGATTCACAGCCCCTTTTTACATTGCTGACTTTACCAGTCCTTTGCATACCCACACACTGTTACTTAAATTGCTTCCATATTTTCATTACTTTCCCTCTGTGCTGTGTGTATTGAAACTCCTGCAAGAATGCTGAAGCAGTGTTTCAAAGCACTGGGGACTACTGGAGATGTGGCTGAAATTATTATGCAAGCTTAAATGATTTTTCAAGTCCTAGTAAAGTTTGCTCCTCCTTACAGAGGAGGATAGTTTCACTGTAGGACAAGCCATACCCAAGAAACAAGCATGGTCATTGGAGAGCTGAGTGTAATCCAAGCTGCATCCCATCCATAAGCAAGGAGGTAAACTCAAATAATGACACTGTGCCCATGTACGAGGGAAATACATACATAGGGCCAAACTCTCATAACAAAAATCCAGAGGACAGTGAAACAATGGCAGCTGCATATCTGCCCCACCAGTTTAAGTGTATTTGTCCCCTGCTGCTGCAAAGTAGTTTTTTTTTTTTTTTGGACTTTTTTTTTCCCCCTGGAGTTTGTGTTGATTAAAGCAACAGGCAAACAGCCTAACTCTGTAGCAGCACGTGACTGCAAGATCAAAACTACCAGAATCATTTAAATGTGGCAATTACACTGTAACCACTACTGCAGCTTTCAGCATTTCTGCAAGTATCTGCAGAAGCTACCTGCATGCTCCTCTCTCAGGAAAGCCCACAGATGGGCATTTCGAGTTGCAACTTTCTGCTTCCTCTGAACTCTATCTTCACAAAAAAATCTCTGTAACTGCCACGAGACACACAGCAGCCATTAGAGCAGTCACACTGCCAGTGCTTAAGCCCTTCTCCAACCAATTTCCAGCTTGCCTTCCACCATACAGTGCCTTCCACCACCCCCTTGATGCGAGATGCTGATCCTATAACCCAAGCACTAAGAGCCAACTGCATTGCAAAATCCTGACTACAGGGGTACAGGATGCTCACCACCCCAGGGATGCTGGGTACAGGTCTCTAGGCATCAAACTCCTCAAGATCACAGCTCCGTGGTCCTCCAAATCCCTGCTGGGGACTCCTCTCTGCCACGCTGCCTCCAGCCCCTGCCCAGCTCCAGCTCAACAGCTGCTGTGCAGCAGCCGTTGGGTGTTATGCTAATCAATTCACTGGTGCAGTGGGCCTCTCCCCATCTGCTCAGAGGATCCACCTGCTGTGTTTTCTCTATTTTTTAAATGGTCAGATTAGGCCAGTGCTACCCCAAGCACTCCCAGCCTGAGAGCATAGCACGAGCCAGCTTAGACCTCACAACACAAGCACAGGCTGGATGCAACCACATATGGACTGTGATCTGCCTCTTTCCAACTCCTTATCTTCCAGCAATTAAAGTCTCACCCTAAACATCACCACACTACACCCCCCCCCCCCCGTTTCATTACAGCTAGCTTTATTTATTTAACCTTTTTGAATAGCCACATCAAAGAATGAACATGCCTTCCCCAGACATCTAACTGAGGAATAAACAGAAATGAAAGGTCTGATTTCTAAGCACCCATATTCTTCACAGTCCACACACCCATGTGCGGTATGCAGTGGTTAGCAAGTCTTTTTTCTCCCTGCTTGGCCATAGAGGGATTGCTTGCAACACCTTTGCTGTCTCTGAGCTGAGTCTCACACAACCACTGTTTCTCTTGAGACTGCTGCAAGTACTCAGGGAATATAAGGAAATAGAAATAAGACACTGCTCAGTGCTAAGAAAGCAGCCCATCCTTCTCAATAGGTGGGAAAAATCTATTCCCAGTGTATTACTGGACCAAAACTCCACTGTGCTATTTTTGGTGTGCAAGGAGTACGCCATTTACCAGGGTTCTAAGAAAAATTCCCCTTGATTTCTCCCCCACACAAGTTCAGCTTCCAATGCAAGTACCCTCAGTAACATTAACCTCCCTGGGCTCTGCCTCACATCAGTGAGAAATGTTGCTGCTTCAGAAACTGATTTAGAGTTGTCAACAGACTTTTGGTAAAGGTCAACCTGTGAAAGACACTGCCTCCTGAGAGGGCCACTGGCAAGTAGCCTCCTCCAGGCTTAAAGTAGCCCTTTGAGCATCCATCATGGGTATGAGGTACAGGAGAAGCAGGGACCTTCTGTACACAGCAAGGGATCAAAGTTACATTGAACAGTCATCCCCTGAGCTCTAGACTGGTGCAAGCCTATATCACAGATCCATTTCTCCAGGTTTTAGAGATATTTGAGTCTTTCATCAGACATAGACTTTGTGATGAGTTCAGACAGGAGTCCACACGTTGCTTAAGAAGCGGAAGTGAAGTATTTGTATTGTGATAAATCCTCAACCTGACCAAGGCTCCTTTGTCTGATTCCTAGGACAAAAAGTACTCCTACACCCAAAATAACATGAGTAGTCACAAGGTTTCATCCCCCCACCCACCCTCAGTGCTGCCTCAGAATTCAATTTCTTTTAAAAATGTAAGTATAGGGCACATTACTGAAAATTAAACCAACAAGAAAACAGAAAGGTTTCTCCTGAAATCAGCTCATATAAATAAAATCTTTTCTTTATACCCTGTTCCTCTTCTTGACTGAATCACACACACACACACCAAAAAGAAGAAAAATATAATTTTGACCCTAGCTTAAGCTACCAAAGAATTCTCTCCAGAAGGATATTTCAAGAAAACGATAAGCATCTGGAAGAATGAGACTTATAATAGAAGTATTTTCTGAAGCATATCCATAGTGTTGCTAGCACAATGCCATAATCAATAATAATGGAACCATTTGCTTGGTATATAGGAATGGATTCAATTGTTCTCTATGCACATACCTGTATTTTAAAAATGTAATTGAAAAGCTTGCCAAAAGGCTCAAGCATTAGTGCTCAGACACAAAGCAGTTTAGAAGTGGGCTCCTTCATTTATCATTCATGTAAAGATGAATCTTAAATCTCACTTACACACAAAAAGAGAAGAGGCTCAGCTGAACTTCTGATCCCTTTCGAATTGGTGCACCTGAAGGACAGCTCAAGATCACCTTTGAAGCTCTCACAGCACCACAGGACAATACCAGCATGGTTTTGTCTCCTCTGTAGCCAAACAGGGTCTCATAAACTGCCTGAAGGTTGTGTCTCAGACACAAAGCACCCTCTCCCTCTGCCACCTGGTTCAAGGGGAAATACAGGAAAGCATAGTACTTACCTTCTTTTTGGAGCATGCTCTGTCCTCCTCCTTAGCTGCTTTGCTATTTTTCCCAGCTCTGGAAAGCTTCTGCTCCCCAGATTGCTTGATGGTGATTTTGATCTCAGGAGGGCAAATATAGTTCTCCAAGTTCTTTGGGGGCTTTTTAGCTCTCTTGGTGGTTTGGATCTTTAGTTTTAAACTCCCCTCTGTGAAGTTAGCTTCCTTGATAGAAAACTCTTGCTCTTCTAGCCCATCTCCTGGCACCCATTTCTCACTGTCTGCATTAGAAGTGGAATCCACATCTCTCCCGTAACCCAGCTCATCCTCTTCTTCGGGCTCCATCCGCTTTCTGCTCACCAGGATCCCTTTCCCCGAGCCCGCCATGGGCAGCATCATCTCTCCTGTGCAGCCAGAGGCAGGTGGAGGCTTTGCAGAGGCGACAGTGGCCAGCAAAAAATCCACCTCACCTCCCCTTTGCTGGGAGCTGCCCAAAGTCTCCCTGGGTTCCATAGCAGTACCACAACACACTGGAGTTTTATCAGAGGGAAGGAGAGCACAGGAAGGGAAGGGGAGAGAAAGGGCAGGTAGGATCCCAGGGAACGAATTGCAGCTGTCCACCAAGTTCAATATCCCAGTCACCTAGAGGCTGCAAGGAGCTCAGAAGAAATCAGATCTGCCACTGTCAAAAAAAAGGAGAAGAAAAAAGGAAGTTAACACATGCATATATATTGAATGCAGGTGTGGAAATGACTGAAACACAGAATGGCTGGGCTTCCCATGCAACTTTTCAAGGGCATTCCCTGATGCAAAGCGGGAACCAGCATTTTTGAGGGCTGGGTCTGGTACCCTAGAGCAGCCAAGCTGATTAACATAAGGATAACATAACACAACATAACATAAGGATATCTCAGAGAGAAATTTGCCACTATTTTACTACCCTGAAACAGCTCCCTGGTGGGTCAGAAGAAAATCCCTTCTAACATAGGGAAAAGAAAACAAGAAGGCACTGCCAGGAGTCAATGCTGGGGACACAGACCTACTCTCACAGCAGCAGCTCCTTACACTAGATAAGCTCTGCTACACTGCCAAACCCTACCCCTTGACCAACCACAGGCAAGATCTGAGAACAACCAGGGATTTTCCAGGCCATTTTTAGTAGCAATAAATTGTAAAGGAAAAATAAAAAACTTGCTACCTATCACCAAATAATCACCAATCACCTTGCTACCTATCACCAAATAACACGTGCTTAAGATACACATCTGGCAATAGGGAAGAGGCTCATTTCCCAGAGCTGCTGTCACTCTGGCCTCAATTAAGGTGATCTTGAAGAACTAACAGAGCTACAGTCTCTCACATGCCTGTCCTGACTCACCCTGTGGTCAGCAAGTCTCTCACTTTTACTACCAATGAAAGGATGATAATGCCTACCTTGTTCAGACTCATTGTAGGGTGGGTTAGTTAATGCCCTTACACAGTTCTGAACCTAAGTGTTTACCATGTGGTGCTCGCTAATTACTAACACAATTAGTACATTAAAGCCACCCAATTGCAAGAAGCTGCTCCACCTAATTGACTGACCTTGCACCTTGCCTCTCCTTTGTGCCTATGGAGGTGACAGCAGTCAGGGTTACCTTCCTCTTCCAACCGGTCCAATCAAAAAAAAGGCCATCCTATTTATCTGCCAGTTCACATTGCTAATCTCCTTGGAGATGGACAAAATGTACACATGCTCCTGTGCTGCAACACAAACACAAGGTGGTAAAAGCTCAGCTGTGCAGCATTCCAGGGAGTTACTGCTCTGGTATGCACAAATATACAATGAATAGTCTGTGCTGACCTCTGCCCACAGGCTTTTAACCTCTCTCGATGCTGGTGAAAAAGAGCAGGCTTCTCACAGGACACATCTGCCTCAGCAGGATGCGGCCACCACACCCTCAGCCACCAAGGGTGTAGAGAAAAGACCATGGGATATGGCGTAAAGAATAAAACCTCTTGGGACCTTATGTCAAATGGGACATGAGATAAAGCTCCTGACTCTGTGCCCAAAACACCCTTCCCAGCTCAGTGTTTTATGGAGGCCTCACCCAAAGCCAGGCTCCTGCCCCAAGGGGTCTCAGCACCTCAGGGTTAGTAGAAACCAGCAACATCTGAATAAAGGCACCACATTATACCAGCATCAGATAAGTTCACACTAAAACCAGCTTTAAAATATTAGCCTCCTGTCATGCCAAGAGCCAGCAAATGATGATATCACCAGACCAACAGGTAGCAACAAAGAACCCTGCATTCAAACACTACACTGAATTAACTGGGTGATTTATTATTTTTTTTTTTTTTTAAGGTATCTCCTTACTCTCCTTCAGGGTTAATAGTTAAGTGACTCAGGTGCAGGAACACTATACTCATCTTTCTTGTTTGGGCAGGCTACAAGCACTTTGACTAATCAGGAAACCTCACTTCAGGCTCCTGAATAAGTAACCTCCTGGGCAAAGTCCCAACCTTCCCTTTCCTCAGCTTGGGGCACACTGCAGCTCTGCAAGAGGAGCTGTTCAGCCCCGTGCTTTCAACTGCAGTGGCAATAGCTTTTTTCTAGCATCTCCCCCAAAAGATATAGGGGTTTGAGCTTCAAAACTAGGGAAAAATCAATCTCCAAACTGCCCCTGCTGAAGTCACTGGGAAAACCTCAGGTTCTGATTCAGCTGCAGCTTCCTGGGCTTCTCCCTCTTCCTCATGTCCTGTATCTCCCCAGCTCTGGGCTGGCCTGCAAGCACAAGCAGTGAAGGGGAGGCAACAAACACTCGTCCTCCAGCAGCATTTCCGCTTTAGCTGGCAAAGTGCAGACCTGGAAACAAGAATACTGCTTTTTGTTTTTTTTTTTTTTTTTTTTCCCAAGCTTCCTAGCTTTATTTTAAACAGCTAAGAGAGGCTTTTAAATGCCTACCCAAACTGCCCTCTCCCAGGCTCACAAGCATCAATTCCTGTTCAACAAGCAACTGCAGAGGTACTTCACCAGCCAAATTAAGCTCTCAGAGGAAAGTGTTACTGCTAGCAGGTTTCCTGCAGTCAAGTTAAATTTGAGGAGGATAACTCACAGGTGAATGACAACAAATTTCACAGAAGTTGGGATTAGCTCTTAATTAGGGAGAAATTCACACTTCCTCTGATAAGTACTGAGAAATAATCAAACACCTGTATGCTCAGCCTAGCTGCTCATATGTCTCTTATCAAACATGCTCCTAGAAGTAAAGGCCTGAAGGAGAAGACCTCCCTTAAGATCATACTAGATGCCTGCCATTAAGGGCTCAAAATACACTCCCTTCTCCTGCCTTAGGCAACTGCTCACGCTTGTATTAAGATATCAGGGCTGTTAAGTGATTAAACTGAAAATTTGCTAAGGATAAAAACAAAAAGTAAGAGCCTACTGCCTTGCTGGAGGGGGGAGAGGGAGGGAGGGGGAGGGGGAGAGGGAGGGAGGGAGGGAGGAAGGAAGGAAGGAAGGAAGGAAGGAAGAAATCCACCATGTTTGGGATTATCCATGAAATGAAAGCAGGCATAATACTTGTCACAGCTTTTGCCCTGTGCCCGGTAACAATCGTGTTTGTAATAAGCAAACAGAGGTGCAGAGGCACCACTGCTTAGGTAAACACAAGCAAGACAGGTTCAGCTGCCCAGCCTTTGTGCTGCTGCTCTGGCTGATTTGCTCAAACACATGAGCACCAGAAGAGAGCTCAGAGCAATTTTAAAAGATGTTACCCAAATCCCAGAGTACACTAATCTTAGGCATGACTGTAGCTACAAATTGCTTTTGTTTTAGCTATAGAGTCCAAAATGCCTTGCGAAGAAAACAAACAAACAAAAAAAAATCTATTGAACAGGTTCTGTTCAAACAAGGGGAAACTGAGGCACAAGTCTGAGAGCATCATACCAAAAGTGAAGTGGAGTCCCACATCTGTCATGTTGTCTTGGGGTCTCATATTCTGTCATGCAAAATACAGTTGCAAAATCCCTAATCTAATATCAGAAATGCTGGAAGCCTCTTTATGCACCATCTTTTTAAAACCATTCACCACAAAAAGCACTGGAGACTATACAGCAATATTTAATTATGACATATCACCTTTCACTCCAAAGACTCCTGGGTTGCTTCCTCGATTTTAAATGCCACTGCTGAAACACAGCTGCCTCTGGGGCAGAGGTCAGCGGACAACCTACATTACATTCAAGGGAAAGTTTTGGTCAGAAACCTGCTTTTATGAGAAGTATTAGTGAAACTTTAGAATCCATCATGGGAGATTAAAAAAAAAAAAAAAGAAAAAAAGCCTGACATGCAGCAAGCTGTGCTGAACTCAGTTAACCTGCATTAGTAATACAAAAAGAGCCCCCAACCTAGTTCATCATTATTGCTTTGCAAAAAAAATCTATGAATTTCAAGCACAGTGCTGTGACCACACAGCTTATGGTACAGGGTCTGTGCACTGCCAGATTACCCAGCAGCACAAATTTGATGCAGACCAGGCACAGGAGCATGATCACACTTTTATCGAATGGACCAGAGTGCACAAGATAGAGGTCAAGGCTTCCTTTGTGCAAATTTAAAAGCAGACCCAGAGGATGGGGACAACTTGTGAGTCATAAAGCCAGCATGGTGCAGGCAGGTGACACAGTCTGATGTAGTACAAAGCCTGCTGGGATGAAATTAAGCCACCACTATTTATTTATCAGATTTGAACCAGGCAAATTAGTTTATACAGGATCATTATCATGCACCAGCAGCATGTTTAATCTGCTGCTCAGAGCCTTGGGGCTAGATTCATCGCATCTTTGAACCTCAGCCTTAGCTACTTCCTGCGCCCCTGATACTCTGCAAGAGCAACCCAGCTTTGTCAGGGAGCTGGAAAAATGACTGTGGCAGCTATTTTCCATCCACACTGTAGATCCCACAGAAAACACCCTCTCTCTTGCACCTGCCTCATGTCAGTCTGTACAGAAACAAGGCAGAAAGACTTCCCCTTCAAGAAGAAAAAAAAAAAAAATCTTTTATCAAAAAATTGGAGATGGTCTGGTGATGTTCAAATCCCAACCAAGCACAGCCCTGAGCATCCTGTCCTAGGTGACCCTGTGCTGAGCAACACAGTAGACTGGACCATCTCCAAAGGTCTTTCCAACCTCAGCCATTCTGTGCTTCCATGATATATTTTTTGCCCTTCATCTCCAACACTGGGTAAATTGGACTCATTACTGCATAACAATTTTAAATATACTGCTAAAACTCCCATCTATATGATAAGCTATCCATCTATGGATACAGACATGCATAAAATGTATGTGGATATACACCAGATACTGTATGAGATTCTCAACTCATAGGGATAATTGTGTTCAGAATGACCATATGTGAAGGCCTATAATCCACAGATTATATACAAAGCCAACTAACTAACTAGGGCATATGATTCATTAATGGGGCAAGTTGATGCAGAGGGGGTTACACAGAAGAAAGGTGACTGCTCTCCATGTAGTCCCCTGCTCTCCATGGCATCCGCTGCTTTTGTTCCACTCCTTCCACCTCCGCCTCTGATTTCTCGTTGGTTATATGAGGATTATTTCTGAAAGGGTGCAAGCTATCTCAGGTGTGATCTATCCACATGAAAATAAGGTGCAAAGATTAATGGCAGC